ATTCAGCCACTGTCGTCTCTGCTGAAGAAAGACGTCACGTGGTCGTGGCGAACCAAGCACCAAAAGGCCTTCGATCTGGTGAGGAAGAGCCTGGCGGCTGCACCAATTTTGATGCTGCCGGATGATTCCAAGCCGTTTCACGTAGTGTGTGACGCCAGTGACTTTGCGATTGGATGCGCGTTGATGCAGTTCGACGATGAGGGTCGAGAGCGTGTAGTGAGCTACCAATCCCGCCAGATGAAGCCCGCAGAACGAAACTACCCTGTTCACGACAAGGAACTACTCGCTATGCGTTATGCTCTGATCAAGTTCAGAGTGTATTTGTTGGGCGAGCAGACGTTCGCAGTCTACACTGACCACGCATCGCTGCGAACAGCGATGAAGAGCCCACATTTGTCCCAGCACATGGCTCGCTGGTTGTCGTTCTTCTCCGAGTACAATTTCGTGGTTCGCTACAAGCCCGGCAAGAACAATATTCTTGCTGACGCCTTGTCGCGTCGCCCCCGACTACGATCCTCGGGGCGTGAAGACCCTGACTTTGATGAAGACGAATATCTTGGGTATGTAAGTGACTGGTCAACGGGAGCCGAAAATTTATTGCTGTTGAGGGAGTATTTCATTTCTAGGGATTACTACCGAGGGGATCGTCTGTAGTAGCTGCTGCCGTCGTCGATTGCTGTGAACTAGAGACGTGAAGCTTACTAAGTACACCGTTAGAGTTAGTGGTGACTACTAATTTTTTTATACATGCTTGTTTAGAATGATTCGCTTCGTTGTAGCCAATGTACGGAAGCACCAGTTGTACGCACTACCGTAGTTAATAAAAATAACTAATTATACGCATTAAATGCGTCGTCTTATCTGCACCTTCAGCGGAGCTCGGTTACTGCAGGGTATGCATTTACTAATAATAACGCGGTTAGCCGTGTGGCCAACTCATTTCGCTGCAGACTGAAGTTCATTACCGTATCGCGGTAAAGCTACATTTATAACGCGATGACGTGCGCCTCAAGCAATGTCTTATCGACGTTTGAAGAGCGTCATCTCGAAGTGGATTTGCTGAACAAGAACCTACACGACCAACAAGACCTTCATGGAGGACACCTTCGGCAAGCATTCGACTATTATTAGATAGTTTCGACGAAGCTGCATATACTTTCATGTAAGAGTGATCACATTCGCACTCAAAACAAACGTGAGAGATCGAGATGCCTCGGTGAATGGCGATTAATCGATGCCTTTTAATCCATGGCTTTCATCTTTCGAGGTGAGGTGACAACGCTGCCGAGACTCGAGCGGGTTAACATGGATAGGGTGCTGGCAAGTTCAGGCACCATTTCGAGATGGGAAATGCTGCCTCGTGTACCACACGGAGTGGGCCTTGTCGGAAGACATCCGGATGAGATTTCCCGTACGTATCGCAAGACTTGCAGCAGTCCCTTTTTGCGACTTTCGACCAGCCGTCCGTTGAGAAGCTTTGCAGCACTGCGCCAATGGAATCTCCATTCTACAGCATGGATGCATGGATGCATGCAGACTGATCCTCATCTTTATTGTTTGGATGCCTGCAGCGCTTTCCGTCTCTATGGATTCCAAGAAGCATGCGCTTTTCTGTTGAGCTTCATAAGGATGTCGAAGTCCCAGTTTCTCTTGAAGAAACTGGCATCCAGTTCGAGTTTACGTATCTCTCAATCATGCTCTGCTGCGTGTTGCACTGCAATGCTGCTTGGTTGATCTTTGATTAGAGTAGTAAATCAGTGAGGGAGAAAGTAGTGTACACTTAAGGGTTAAATATGAGACGCTAACTCTACTGCCAATGCGGCGTAGCGCCCTACGCAATCTATCAACATGTATACCCTCAACTACTCGCAATACGGCACTAGAAGACTCAACTGCTGCAGCTTACCGGTACATCGTAAGCGATGGCAGAATAGGTGCCTGGTAGTGGCCCGGCACAGCTGCATATTGAGGCTGCGGTGCCGGGTAAGACGGAGTGGACCCGTGGGGCTCGAGGAACGACAGAAGTGATCGCTGGTTGCCCAGCACTTGTGTGTCGTATCGGGGGTGGCAACCGGTACCGGCCGAGGTGAACGGGTTGGCGAGTTGCGTGATAGGCCGGAGAGCAGGCACTTGCATCTGCCGGGCCGGCACCTTCTCACCAATGGAAGAGCTGCGCGAAAGCGGGTTCACCAGGAAGTCAATCGAGAGCTTGGTGCTGGTAGGGGAGATGAATGAGGTGCCGGTCGAGCTGGGTGGGGTCACGACGCCGTGAGTCGGCGAGTATGATCCGGTCGTCAAGAGCTTGGAGTGAGACTTGCAGCGGCCCTTGACCTGCGAGAATTTCTCACAGTTCGGGATTGTACAGCGACGGCCACCGCCGTGTGAAATGCAGTAGCCCTTAGACTGCGCCAACTTTTGGCAACCGTCGAACTGGCATCGACGACCGCCGCCGTGGGCAATGCACAAGCCGCGACTTTGAGCGAGCTTGTTGCACTGCGGATCACGGCAGCGAGAGCCACCGCCGTGAGCCTTGCACAGACCACGGGTCTGGGCGAATTTGTCACAACCAGCGAACTGGCACCGAGCACGGTTGGCATTGCGACGGGTACTGGACGTCGGCATGATGACCAAATGAGGTGGAGATGGAGAGGATGTGCTTTTAAAGACACAAAACACTGCAGCACTGGCAGTGAAGAGATTGAGTGCCGATGTTGGCGGGTGGCGGCGAAATGTAAAGTGAGCTCATGAACGAGATGGCAAACAACCAAGCAGAGGAAACAACGGGACCAGCACATGCGACTGCTGCTTGCTCTACGATGGGACTTTCCGTACCACGAGGTGCTCAGGTCGGATACCAGCCGACTTGACTATGGACGCGAGAGAGACAGAGGTTGCGGGGGGCGTGTGCCGGATAGGCGACCATGCTTTAGCCTCCCAGCCATACTCGTTGCGACAGCTGGGTCGAACAGCTACATAGCCCAGAGGTGACAAACAAGCGCATTGCATGTGGCGTTCTTACATACGAGGGGTATGGTCTCTCGAACTCATTCGATTGCTTCCAACTGCCGCGATTACTCGACTAAAAGACGAGCCTCGTGAGCACTGCAGCTTGTATCTTATTATTGTGGCCCCTATTCAGGGGAAAGATACCAATTGATGGAGCTTTAACTGTAAGCACTAATTTGATATGCCTGCTCTCAATGGAGGCTCACTGACTAGGATGTCAAGACCTAAGAAATATTGCAACTCGAATCGCAACGCACGAGCTAATACGCCGCGTTTGAATGAATTAATAGTTATAAGTCATTATAAGTACCTGTTCCGGAAGCATGTTACGCCTTAATGTAAATACCTATGTCAAGAACAGTAAGACTTCAAAACTTTCAGATTCTATGCGCTACTGGCGAGGGCGCATCTTTCGTTTTGCCTAGCGCTATTCGCACTAGTAAACTACGTATCAGTATGCATGAGAGCTCTGCTATTTTCGACGCGCGGAATGAACTTGTATACGCTCCACTTTCTTGCGATGTGCTGGAGCTCGAGTCTTTCTTCAGCTGGACGCTTTCATTGGATGACAGACTTAGCGGCGGGCGCAAACTTTGCTTGCTTGTTATGATGCTTGAGCCTTGTGTGGATGTTCTCGTTTTCCGCCGTCGCGACGTCCTCCCAGGTATCCGATCCTAGCCAGATCGATCGGTTCTTTTATTCGCGGCCTTGTCTGCTTTCTTGCTCCTGCCGTCATCTCACCAAGAGAGCGATGAACAGACAAAGAGGCAGAACAGTGCCTTGGCAACGTGACGGGGCTTCGCCGGCTCGTTTCGGGTCGCCTTCGAGCAGAAACACGATATTCCGACCCGGCGGCATGTCGTCGGATGGGGAAAGGTGGCTACAAACCGTGACGAGGCAGAAAGAGGCACATCGCTGTACGCCCATAACATTGACATGCGCGCGTCGCTCTCGGCTTATCTGCGGATGCTCCGTCGCTATACTCCACCGAATTTCAGTAAACCCGTCGTAAAATACCTGGCTAGAATCCGTAGCGAGTTTGCTTGCAATCACGACCTGAGCATGGAGGGATTCCGATGACGGTCTCCCCTTACAGACAGAACACCCCGTTGCAGTTTTGGAAATCCCTCTTCACGGCCCGTGCCAACTCTGCCGGCTGGATCAGCTGTCTATGCTAGGTTTCCCGCGTGGATGAGGGTGCTGGGCCCGACTCAAAGATGCTGGGATCTGATCTCCTGCTGGGCTGCCTTATTCGCTTCATCTGAAAGCAAGGGCCATAGCCTATTGCAGTACTGTAATACTGGATGGCATCTCACCTTGCTTCATCTGCTTGAGACGTGCTTGTTGGGGCCAAAAGAACCAAATAGCAATTCGCTGTTTGAATTGCCCTAAAAATCTAAAGTGATACACTTGAATTTGGACTTAACATTTTTAGAACTGTAAGAATGAGCAAGTTTCTTTAGAACTGGCATTTATGTATCTTCCCGATGTTCGGGGAGATCGCACGACTGCGCTGTGGAGACTTGCTCTGTAACAAAGCATGCGGGAGGATAGTAAAAAAAAATTACAGTACTTGTACGGGGGTATTGTGCAAAAATCGAAAAGCAAACAGCGGCTGGAAACGCGGCCTTGATTGTTTCGACTCATCAACTTATCCGCTTTCATCTTGGGAGGTTCTGCTCTGCTCGTGCAGCCGGCACGTGTGCTAACATAATGGCCACCCCAAAGAGCCAATTTTTTACCATAATGGTAATTCATTAAAGAAACTGCTACATACATTAGCAAATGTTTCAGTGTTTCCCGAGCCATAATAATACTGTAAATGCTGCTGCTGCCATACAGAGGATTATTATGTGCTCGTCGTAATAAAGGCGTAAGCAGCCACAAGTCTATCCACTGCAGCGCCAACAACTTGTGGGCCCACCGAGACTTGCTGTGGCGTACTGTACACTTGCAGTCGGGCCCTGCTCGTTTCGGCCGATGATGGACGCGGGCGCAACCGTTGAAGAGTGTTCGTCAAGCACGACTCGTTTCCTGTCCAGGCTGGACTCCAGCAGCACGCCAGGGTTCTTGGCCAGTCTTCGGAGCACGCGTTGCAACTGAGGTGACGAAAATGAGACCAGAGTCCGGCTTCCAAACCGGATGAACCGGATGTTGCAGCGTTGCAGTCTCGCAAACTCCTGCGTCCGTGTGGCTTGGTCGCTCAGCCAACTGGCTTGGCTAGTAAAATGTAAGATGCAGCGAATCTTTAGCCACTCCGAAATTGGAAAGACTGATGGCATCGAATAGACAACGCTCGTGGCTAAAGCTCGCCGTCAACAACTTCTTCTGTGTAGATTTTCATTCCTGGCTGTAGTCGACGCGATTGAAGTCGCGCATTTGGCAGCGGGCCAACTAAAAAAACTCACTCACAGGATCGGAACTCCCTGCCATCTGTGAGCTCGTCGACCTGGCGAAAGGTGCACTCCAAGCTCACGAGGTGTTGACTCCAGGAAGGGTGTTTTCGAAACGCGTCTGGATTCGGTTTTTCAATTCACATCGACTGGATCCGCGGAAATCGCGATGGCAAGGGACACTGCGCTCGGTTTGGCGCTGCATGTTTTGAAATGATAACCTCGTGCTGACTCCGTCGATACGGTGCCTCTGGGAAAAAGAGACGGCGAAATGATCGGATGCTGCACTCGACCAGCCCCAGCAGCTAACGAAGAAGCACAGGTTCTTCTACTCGGTTAAAAGTTCGGGTTGGTTCAAGAAATACGAGACGAGAAGACTGGCTGGCAGAGCACCTTGTCACGCTGCTCTACAAGCCACCAGAGGGAGAGAGCAGATGAGCTGGGACCTGCTTCGAAGCGGAGTTAACCTTTCCTAGCTTTTTAGGACTCAATACGTGTAGGGTTTGTCGCGGCCGATCCGAAGCTCAATATTTGCTGAAGGCCATTGCACACGCTCAAATTTGCATAGGGTCTTGTTGTTGGAGCGCAAATTTGCGTGAACAAGCTCTATGACATCTGGACTGTATTCATGTTTTTTGAACGAAGTGTAAGTTGGAACAGTACGTATTGCTGCAATGCATTTTGGTTCAGCTTTCCCGGGGAACGCCTTAGGGCGCTCAATGTGCTGCTGATCATTTCATCGCACAAAGCACCGTCCAATAATGAATCTACCACAGCCAAAGCATACATCACTAATGTACACTGCATCTCTATGGACAGCCATATAATAAAAAATAAATATATATATATACAAAACTTGAGGTCAGGCACTCAAGATTTTTGAGGCAATGTGCTGCAGCTCGGTCATCTGCCGTATGTCTGTGCCGCCGTTCCATGTTGGAACTTTCAACATCCTTGTCACGAGGCCTTTTGACCCGTCCATGCCAGTCTCCGTCTGTGTCACCATAACCGAGCCACTCGCTGCCGTCTGATCGAAGAGCTACGAAACTCATGGCGTCCTTCAACGCCGCCCGTCACGTGTGCGGTGTAGGTGGATAGGACGCCAAGGTGGACGATAAGGCCGCACCGCGATGTGGCATGCTTCAAGCCTCGATCTCCACCAAAAGTGCCTTCATAACTGCCGGACAGTGGCCACAGTTGCACAATTGTGAAGATGGCGTAACGTGGTTGTGTGGTGGTCCGTTCAGAACCCGAAGTGGGCGATTCTACGCGACGGCAATCGCTCCTCGTGAACGAGACGATTTCGGTGCAGAGAGAGTTGAGACTCAAGGGACTGAGAGCAAAGTGCACAACGGACGGGAAGCGTGCCATCGCATCATCCCCATCCGGGATCAACTTCAGGATCTGTGCTAACGTAAGGCACGAAAAACAGCGCTTCGGTGTGTTCAGGTGGCGAGAGCACGCACGCTTGTCTGTAGTAAATCGCTTGAAGACTAAAGACAGAGGCTTGTCGATCTCTCGACTGCCAAGAGGCTCAGCTCATCAATAGCAAAAGGCATGCAATTTTACGGATAAATACACTGCAGGCCGCAGCAACTTCTAATAAGCTATGCGAATGGAAATCAAATCACCGGTACAGCACGAGGGGTGGGTAGTGCGACGGCATGGTTACCGACGGGCGAGCCTGCATCGCTGCAGCTGTAGAGGCTAGAGTAGTCATCGGGTCGAGATAGGAGAGAAGCGAACGTTGGTGAGGCAGCACGGAGCCGACCATGTGCATGCCCGGTAGCACCGCCTCCTTACTGTCGGAAGCCACACTGCATGGGTTAACGAGAAAGTCGATCGAGAGCTTGGACTTAGTCGGCGACATGGTGGACTTGGGGGTAAAGCGATCCGAACTAGAGGTCGTCGAATCCGAGATCGATACCGGAGACCATGAACCTGAGCCGGTCGGAACGAGCTTCGAGTGTGACTTGCAGTGGCCGCGCACCTGTGCGAACTTATCGCAGTCAGCGACGTGACAACGGCGGCCACCGCCGTGAGAGATGCAGAAGCCTTTGGACTGGGCGAGCTTGGAGCAGCCGTCGAAAGCGCATCGACGGCCGCCACCGTGCGCGATGCACAAGCCTCGACTCTGAGCGAGCTTCTGACAGCTCGGGTCGCGGCAACGCGAGCCACCGCCGTGCGCTTTGCAGAGCCCGCGGGTCTGTGCGAACTTGCCGCACTCGGGCATGCGGCACCGTGCACGGTTGGCGTTGCGGCGAGCGCTTGAGGTCGGCATGATCACTGGTCGCGTGGACTTTCTGAAGTGTGTCGAGCTGCGGGATTTGGCAAATGGTGGAGTGGCGAGTTCTTCTTGGTTCAGGAATTTTGTTTGCGTCCGCTCGCGTTAAGGCGGACAATCTGCACAGCCGTGAACCTACACCCTCCGCGGCTTTGTTTTTGAACCAAGCAAGCGCACGGACAAGTGTACGTTCGATCCGACGATTTGGGGTACGCCGAAAAACCCGTCACGGCATACGTTGTCCTCTTGTCCACGCCTTTGCCTTGGTCTCTATGGCCTTTGGGGGCTTGTGGAGACCATAATGTTCACAGTGAGACTGTTAGCATCCACTCGGGGTGGAAGCACGTCGAAGTTGTGGACTCTGATCCGCAGCCATTACTGGTGCATAGGAGAAGGTCGGTACGTGTCGATAAGGTGTCGACCATGCGGCGACAGCGCTAAATGAGCCAAGACATCGCTTCGAATATCCCCATTCACTCCCAGCAGGCACCGAAACACGTGCCTGCTGCCGTTCCAGAGTCCACCAACACGCTGAGCCACGACGCAGATGTCCTGACCTCTCTAACGTGTTCTCACCGAGTAGAGGCGTCCTCACATCCTCGCTATCTCTCTCATTCGCATCCACACGCTGCAGTGGACGCAGGAACCTGTCGTGCTCCACTGCCAGCGTTTTATTGACGTTGTGCGCTCACACATGGCTAAGGCGTTTGGCTTCAGCGCCGCTGCCACATCGGCACCAGGTGGACTTGTGTTTTGGACAGCCTCGACATGAAAGCCATCGATCTCTACAGCCAACTTCGCCATACTATAATAGCACTTCGTATGAAGTGTAAGGGCTGAAAGTTTCTGGTGCTAGTTGTGGGTCGCCAGACGCTGGTTAATCTTGCGTGTGCTCTCTGTTAGAGTCCATTGGAGCTCAGTTGCCCGCAACGTCGTGCTGTTGACTACATGTAACGAGTGTCATGCACAAAGTACAGTGTTCGATGCCTGCACGACATTCGAGCCGTTTACGAACAGAGACTCAATGTACCATTTACACGTAGATGTTGCCATTGTTAAGCCTCTCAGGCGCTCCTTAGACGACGGCATAGTTTCGTACAAGGATGGCAATACAGTGTAAGCTGGCATCATCAAGTACTGTTTGCCGAGTTGGCAAGGAGACACCACGAAACAGCAAAACCGAGCTAAGATTTGCTTGCCCAACTGGAGGTTGGTCGACATCGGCTGCGTCCACCTCGAAAGAGCGTTACGTCGCAAAATACTGCTGGAGAACCATGCGGCATCTTCTTGATAAGAAAGCGACGTAAAGCGTACATGTATTATCCAGCGTCGATGCTGGTCCTCCATGTATGCGAAACACGAGTTCTGTATCTCCGGGATAGCATGTTGGTGCTGCTCTAAAATTTAGCCTGGATAGTAACGAAGCATGTTTGCTCAACGTGTCCAAGTTAGCTCAACTAACCGCAACCGGAACACAGAGTTTGCGAAACGTTGAACGTAAACCTGTTGACGGACATGGTGTCCTCATGGCTGGCGTCGCTTGGATCGTGATCAATGCATGATCTCCAACAGAATACTTAAGTACAATAGTATCGACAGGATGAAAGCAGGAATATGTTTAAATATATGAGGTGGTGTTGTTTAGCGGTAGTAGGGTACTAGCGGCCGGACAGTGAGTGATGGTAACTTCAACCTGGATGCCGGCGGCAATGCCGCCGTCCTTGACGTAGGTTCGAGAAATGACAGCAGCGAACGCCCACTCGCTGCGATGCTAGGAAGCTGCGGAGCTGGTGGTGTAGCCTGAAAGGCTGGCACTCTGGTTTTCGTCGTGCACGGTTGTTCGTTAGGCAGCGACGGGTTCACAAGAAAGTCGATGGAGAGCTTCGAGTTGACCGGAGACAGGGTCGTATTGGGGCTGCAGCGGGCAGAAACCGGTGGGGTCAAGAGTGCTGCGTGGGTAGGAGACGAAGGAGATCTGAACACCATAAGCACCTTGGCGTGGGCCTTGCAGTAGCCACGGACCTGCGAGAACTTGTCGCAATGGGGAATAGCACAGCGACGGCCACCGCCGTGCGAGATGCAGTGGCCCTTGGACTGTGCGAGCTTGTTGCAGTCCTCGACAATGCAACGGCGGCCGCCGCCATGGGCGATGCACAGGCCACGGCTCTGGGCCAGTTTGGGGCAGTCGGGATGGCGACAGCGCGAGCCGCCGCCGTGCGCCTTGCAAAGCCCACGCGTTTGTGCGAACTTGTTGCAGTCCGTTAGTCGGCAACGCGTGCGGTTAGTGTTGCGACGAGTGCTGGGCGCTGGCATGGTCGGTAAGTGGTGAGGTGGTACGATAGTCGACTGAGCTGTGCGGTGTCTGGTAAAACTCAGAATAAGAGATATGACCCCGTCACGGCTGCAGAGCTCAAGAGTCTGCTGTCCTTGCTGTACGATCGGACTGCATGAGCCACGTTTTGCTATGTCCGCGTGGGTTGCAACTTGCAACGCCCTCGTGTTGCTTGATGTCCTGGAGATATAGACGAGTTCTCTATGGCCACACGATGTGATGCCTTATCTGTTAATCCAGTTTGGACAAATTGCGATGCTAACGCACCTACCGTAGGTCCTCAGCGGACATTTTTCACTGTGAATTCCATGTGCGAGGCGACGACAAGATGTATTGGAGCTATAGCGGCTGAAAGCGCGGAACTCTAGGGGCAAAATGTACAACTTCAGCTTGCACTCGGAGCTGTTCGCGGTGCTGGGGCCGGCTGTATGGTGTGGTGCGCCGACGTCGGTGTCGCTCGTATCATTACTTCCGATACAAGTGCATCAGCAATCGATAGACGTTGAATTGAGACTTGAAATCACAAGATGTCGGGAATGAAATCTCGGCTATGTGAACGAGTCGCGAGAGTCTCCAATGCCAGAGGAAATCCGAGAACTCGAAGCTTGTGGGCTCCGTTGTGCCACGGAGGAAATGGCGTGAAACGAGACAGTGACCAAATGTTCGACCAAACACGGACAAGTCGTCTATGTAGACGAATCGAGTCATGACTTGACCGGCTCACATGGCGAAAAATGCGCGGAGAGCAGGGCCACCGATCCGCTGTGACGAACTCTCGGTTACAGCTCTCCGACTCTTGATGTTAGTGAGCCGTATCCACAGATAACTCCACTGATTCTCTTCCGTCTCGTTGTTAGCAACACCCTAGTGAAGAGGTCAACTAACAACCGGCTCAAGTTGTTCAAGTGTTCAACTTGAAGCGATACAGTTAACATCTTGACGAACACTTCAAGAATGAAAAATTGTTTGCCCTCCAGCTGGAACTGTAGCGGCGGCGTAACGTGCAGGATCTCACCGCGTGTCCGTATCGTCAACGTCCGAGTACCAGAAACGCCAGCTTGTTCAGCTTACCGCCAAAAGCCGAGTTGGTTCCCAATGCAGCTCCAAGCAAGCAGAGCCTCACCGGCAGTGACTCACCGCTAACCGTAGTGTTAAGCCTTGTTGGTGCGCTTATGCTGTCTGCCGCTGCGGTGTGCATGTACGTATGGCCGCACGGGTCCCACTTGCGCCGGTTGATCGACTCCAGGCATTAGATCGCGACTGTATCTTGAGCGGTTTCGACTTGTTTCGGGGAGGCTGAGTCAAACCAGTTTGCGTTCGTGCCCCCCGCCTTCCAGCTCCTCCGTCTTCGATGGCCCCGGCACGCACCTCCAGTTCGCCACCGTCTCCGGTCCCGTTCGAGCCGCCGATAGTCGCTGAATCCGGCAGAAGCCCCACGTGGGACGAATACCTGGCCAACAACAACGAATTCACTCTCCCGGTCGTCGGCGACAACCTGGTCGAGTCACGACCGGCTTATTATGCGTCCCCCGGCTACACTGCAACGTCCAGTGGTCATTCATTACCTTATTCAGCACGGGTAGCCATCCCTGTTCCACCGCAACGTCGTCTCAGTCCAGCGCCAATCCACAAATATAAAGTGTCGCCACCTCCACTCCCAACACCACCGTCGCCTCTGTTCACGAGCTTACGTCCCGCTCTGAAGAGAAAAGCAAAAGGCGAGATTCCTCCTGGTACTCAGGTAGGACGCTGGACCAAGAGAGAGCACGAGCTGTTCCTCGAAGGCCTACAGCGTTTCGGGAAATCCTGGAAGAAGATCTCGAGTCTTGTACACACACGCACACTCGTACAGATCCGCACTCATGCTCAAAAGTATCTCCAGAAACAGTCTCGCGCAGCGATCAAGAATGCCAAAAGTGTAGAGCCCCACCATCAACCAAGAGTAGCTTCTCCCAGCTCTCTCAACTTTCAGAGTTGTCTGTCAGCTTCATCCTCGCAATCCTCATTGGCGTCGTTCAAAAGCATCAATAGATTGGACCAGTTACTACAGGATGACAGCGCCCTACCAGCTTTCGTGGACGAGTACTACACCAGTCCGACTGCTATCGAAGACGACCTTCTCCGGCCCTTATTTACAAAGGAGCAATGGGTGCAACAGCCCAGCTACTCCAATAAACGTCGTCGCGTGGACACCAACGCGTCATCAGCCACGGACATCGCTTCGGTCGAGCCACTACCGGCGCCTAACAACCTGCCGTTGCCCAGTACCAGCTTGGAATCGGCTGCAGTACTACTGGCAGCACACGAGCCTGACGAGACGAACGTGTGGCTGTAGCTATTATTCTTTTCTTTTTTTTTCATGAGGCTTCAGGACGTCTATGCCCAATTGTTCATACCCACTAGCCAACATGCACATACTTAAACGATAAATATTGCGTTGATACTTTTGTCTTCGCTTTTATCCTTCATGCTGCTGTACTCGCTCCGGCGACTCCGACTCCTCCTTGCTTCGCCTCTCGAAGAAATTGCTGTAGTGCTGTGAGTCGGTCGTCGATGTCGCTGAAAGAATCTGCTGACGTGTCCAGTAGCGCTTGTGGCGGTTGTTTCCTTCGTTTCAACACAGACTTCTGCTGAGTCTGTGGTGGTACGCGCGGTGACGAGGCTGGAGACCCTCTTGGGGTGGCTTTACGGCCATTTCTGCTGGTATTTGATGGTGTTGGAGACGGAGAGCGGCCACGACTTAACGAACGACCAGAACGAGGCAACGGCGAGTTGTTCGAAGCACGTGGACGTCGAGAATCAAGTGGGGGAGGCTCCATGGCACGTTTGGGCGATGACAACCGAGCGTCCAGCTCTCGCTGTCGCTCTTTTGACAGTCGTGAGTTGCGTGAGCGTGTAGAACGAGACGAAGTCTTGGAACCTCGGGAATCCGCTGACGAATACCCACCAGCCGAGCTATCCGACGTGTAGCCTCCGTTGGGCCGTGGCGGACGCGTGCGAGAGTTTGAACGCGCTCGGGCCTCGCGTAGCTTTCGTTCCTTTTCTTGTTGATACGCAGTCGGATCAAAGCGACGGAAAGCTGGACGGGTCGTGTGTTGTCTGCGTCGAGTGGTTCTTGGTGTTCTTGTGCCTGTGTCCTCGTCATCTGAAGGACCGTAGTGGGTAGAAGAAGACTGGAATGGAGCAGGGAAGACGGTGTTGGTTTGCTGGTGTCTAACACTACTCGCTGGAGACTGAACTGGACGCATTGAGGGAGATCTGCCCCGCGTGAACCGCGATTCGTTTGCACGGGTGCCATTGAGCGCTGGACGCTGACGCGCCCCATGTTGTCCAGCTTGTGCGCGTGCAACTGCAAGTTGACGAAGCAGTTCCCGGTTCTTGAGCTGTGTCTCCTCTAACTGCGCTTTCATTTGCACCATTTGGGCCAGAGTCTCCTGTACAGCAGCATTGCTGTCCTTCTGAAAATGTCCACAACAGATAATTGGGTTAGATATGAGAGCGATACTAATAAAAAAAACGATAAAGCGACGTACGATCTTGCGTCTTGTCTCCAGTCTTTCTTGCTCCTGTCTCGCTAATTCGCTGCGGTCATTCTGCTGGGACGCAAGTCGTAGTTGTCTGTATATCAGTGTTGTTAGCAGCAAACTGTGTCAGGAAATAATACTCCAATAACTCGAAATTGAGTGCTGTTCACGTACTTGATCTCCGTCCGCAACCGTGCCGTCTCTACAGCCGAATCCTCTCGAAACTGCTGGTAGAGTGCAATAAGCTCTTTATTTTCCTCAATGGACGCCTAAAACATACAATTCATCAGCTCACACCACCATCAAAATTCAAAAACTGACACGAACCTGAAGCTCTCGCTGCAATTCTCCCGTCGAATTTATCCCCACATTTCCATTGCCACTCACATTATCACAATACTGTTTCAACGTGTTCTTCAAGCACCGATTTTCCTCTTTCAGAGCCGTATTCTCCTCAGACAATCGAGTGTTGCTCCCATTAACAGAGAAGTTCTCTTTTTCAGCCAATGCCTGTCTCAGTCTTCTGATAGTCCGCTGTAAAACTTCTGGAGATGGCGAAACTTCGTGAGTCAAAGGTAGAGGATAGTGCACTCGGTCGAACTCGACGGCATAAGTCAATATTAAGTATCTTTTCCCAGTGCTCGTAGCCGTAGCGGCGCTTGTCAATCTATAGTATACAATAATAAAGGATAACTTTAGTCGAAACAAGCAAAACAATAACTAAGTTGCTGTAAGGATATGGTTATTATCTCACCCTTCCGATACCGCTCCCGGTTGTAGCTTGCGTTGCCTGTAGAGATTCAAGTCTGCCGCCGTCAAGAGATCCACAAACACCGTGTCACTTCGCCGATGCAGTGCTGTAAGTAGCATCTGGACGAAAACTGGGAATCTCTTTGAGTTGCCGGTCTGGCGAGTAAGTTGCTCGACGTCGGAAGCTGGGAACTTGCCCGTCCAGACGCTCGACGGCGCAACGTTCGCGTCGGCTGCTTCTACCTGCACGTGTAGCAGCTGCTGTTGTACCTGCACCGTCACCACATAACGCGCGCCGTGGAACTCGATCGTCGCTGACGTCTCGAGATCCTCCATCTTGACGCAACTTAAACTGACAATTGTGCACAAGAAGAAAATAGTCCATGCCAACCAACCCAACATGTTCTAGTATCGAGAAATAAATTGTTTTTCGTTTTTAGCTCTAACTAGCGCCACTATGCCGTTATAGCCGAATTTGGTAAAAGCGTGCGTCTGCGACCTTTCAAGATCCAGCGTATCCATCGGCGTATCTGCCATTGTCCACCGTCACAGGTCACAGACGCACCTATCGACTCGTCCAGCATTGCACACCAAGTCATCACCTCGTTCATCGTCTGTGTGCTAACTTGCTTCCTCGTTTCCAGTTCAATTATCACTAATAAATGCAATTTTACCATTGGCACAGATGCAGCACACCGTCTCAGCTTCGCATCATTCCGGTGCGTCATCTTCTCTAGACGCTTGTGGCTTTGTCGACGCGTCTACTGCAAATCAGGACGTCGTAGACGCATGTAAACGCCGCAATGGCCACAGCCGAGCTAGGTCCAAGCGCCAGCAATGCATCAGTCAAATGGTCGCGATGTCGTGCATGGACCAGCCCCGGTCCGCGGACGTCCGTTCGCAGGACCCCGCGGCGTTCGCTCAGTTGCTGGCGGACCATTTCGTGGCACGGGAGTCATCCATCGCGACGGTGGCTGCATTTGCCAAGCCGCAGCAATTAGCGAGGCCCGTAGCGGGTTCTGTGGGCCTCGGGAGCTTCAGGAGCTGGCAGTTCGGCGAGCGGTGTCTGGCCACGTACCGCGTGCTGTTCGGCCGTCCGCTGTGGTCCGTGCCGACGTCGCCCAGACCCAGAAAGAGAAAATACGTGACGCCGCCGACGAGCAGCAGCTCTGATAGTTCAACCGACGTCGACGAGATGAGTGCACTGGAACTTGAAGAGACTACAGGCGAGTTACTGCCGCTGCCGACGGTCGACGAGCTGTTGGAGCTTCCGACGGACGAGACGTTCGCGTCGGACGGCAAGACGGACGCTGCGCTGGACGAGGAGGACGTACTTGCTGGACTATCAATCGATTTAGGACTGGGACCTGACGCAGACACCGGCGAGGACTCCATCGACTTGCTATGGGAACTGGACACCAGCGACGTAGACGGAGGCACAATGCTGGCAGGAGGAGAAGAGGAACTGCGGTTCTTGGCGCCGGACGGAGAGGACATGGAGGATGTCTGATGCAGACGAAAGCACACGGAAAATAAAGGCACACGTAAATGGGTATGATAGAGTTTGTTTTGGCTGACTGGGTCTTCTGTATCAGGTCTAGACAATCTCAGGAGGGTGGAGATCTAACACGTCCTGCTCTTCGTCGTCGTCGTCGCTGCCTACAGCATCAGCGTTTCCTCGTGCACTGACCGGCTGTAGCGATTGTCTAGTCACGTTAACTTGCTTTCCACCGTCCGGTTTGCCCGCTTTTCCACCTAGCAGACCATTACGTTCATTAACGTACGGCGACACGAGACTCTGTTTATCGTCTCCAGTGATACCAAAGTAGGATCTCCAGCCGCCAAACTTACCCTTACGTCTGTGGATGCCGCCAGGGTGTTGCAGTTGGAAGCGAGGCAGTACCATGCCGACCACCAAGATCTCCCAGCACAGGACACAGCCCGCGTCAAAGAGGAAGAGAGAGAAGAGGGACCACGCAAAGCCCACAGGCAATTCCAGCGCTCCCAAGCTCACGTCCACGCCGCGTGACTTCAAGGCCTTCGCCACCGCTGCCGACGTCGACGTTTCTTCATCTCCGAGGTTGCCGTTGTCACCCAATAGCTGCACCAGTAGAATGATCAGCAGGACGAAAGCATACGCAACAAACGAGCGGTTCGCACGAAGCAACGGCGCTCGATAGTTGTCCCGTACGTTGAGTGCGACAGCAGCAATCCAGTACTGGAGGTGGCCGAAGCGCCATAGAACGCTGTTCTCGTACGAGTGAGACGTCAGGTCTGCCGGTTCTCCGGGCACGAACACGTAGCACGGCACTTGAACGACGTCTGGATCGCTCTCGCCACCGTCTGATGCAGCTCTCGTGAGCTCCAGCGCCTTCTTGGCTGAACAAAACCATGGTCGCGCCTCTGCTGCTGCCAACGCGATGTACACGCATCCAAGGAAGATAGCCAACTGGCCTAGGAGAGACAACAAGATCTCAGCAGCGAAAAGCGTCCTGGGGGGTCTTCGATTGAACGGAGCCACGGAAGACGAGCCGAGTTGAGGAGATGCGGGCGTCCGTACCATCAACAGCGACAGGATAAACACGACTACCAAGTCGTCGAACAGGAACTGCGAGTCGCTCATTTGAGAGTGCAGAGTGTTCATAGTGGCAGACAGCGTCACTTGCACGACGGAGTAGATCACCATGTATCTGAAGGCGACGAAGGCTGCACTGAGAGCGCCGCGTCCTTCACGTAGCAGCTCCACAGCGTCACTCACGCGCAGAGAGCGGCTCGTGAATGGAGCCACCAATGCTGCGTCATCTTTGGAGAGAGCGAGTCCAACATGAGCAGCTTTCAGTGCGCCGCAGTCATTGGCTCCGTCGCCACACATGGCCACACAAGCTCCGTGTCGAGTCATAAGCGTCTCCACAATCCACGTCTTCTGATGCGGTCGCACTCGTGCAAACACCTTCGTTCGGCCCACTAATTCTTCAGCAAAATCCGTCAGTGACATCGCTGGAGGTGTTGTTGTGGAGGTGTCCGTGGGTTTTTCTTCTTCTTCTTCGTTTGACGCTAGGAGTTGTTCGATTGCTGCTCCTGTCACTGCAATCGAACTACCTTCAGCAAGTGAGAGGAAAGAGTGGCGATCGACAGGCGCCCACGTGCCTTCCGAGCTTCCAGAAGTGCCTTCGCGAGTGCTTTGAGCCAACTCATCGACGTCAGTGTACACGACAGCCGTCTCCTCGTCACTTTCATGTTGCCGCTGTGCGTCAATAAGAAGCACTGACGACTGCATGTCCATGTTGATCTTGCGCGCGACGTGAATCGCTGTGAGTGCGTCGTCTCCCGTGATCATACGTACATCCACCCCAGCTTCTTCGAGTGCTCCAACAACGTACGGAGCTTCGGGTTTCACTTGGTTGACAAACAGCATAAAGCCCAGAAACCCCACAGAGCTCTCCACGGCGTCTCGAGCCACTGGCAGCGATGTCTCTGACTTTGGCGATACAGCAGCTGGAGCAAAAGTTTTGGTCGCGAGAGCCACGACGTAGAAGCCTTGATGCGCGTACGAGCGTGCACGTGCTGTGTAATTGCTGGGGAGCGTGTTTGGTGTACAGATCTTGCGTATAGCCTCGGGCGAGCCTTTTACGTACACGTAGCGGTTGCCACTGTCCAGATCTTCCACTACCACAGACGATCGCTGGCGAGCTGCGTCGAACGGGAAGCGAGCCACAACACCGAAAAGCTTCCCAATGGGAGACGCAACAAGCGCTGCAAACTGTCCAGGCATCACAGTGTTGTCGGACGTCTCTGGTTCCAGCGAGTAGCCAGTGGCACGGAACATATCCTTCTCGAGAGCATAACCTTGAATCTGACCGGACCGCTCAGTGAGTCCATGACACGTGGCCAAGCCAATGATGGCAGGAGGAGAGAGCACTTCCACTTCACGTTGGAGCCCATGAAACGCTGGCTGTTGCTTCTGGTTCGATGTACCTGGAGCTGCAGCGGAGCACTCGTCCACCCCATGAAAATCTAGATGGTCACTTGAAAGTGTGCCAGTCTTGTCGAAGCAAAAGCAGTCAATGTGGCCCGCAATGTTCATCCGTGCGGCGTCGATACACGCCACATCAGCCTGACTTTCAAGACGTGATAATGCGAAGCCAACACCCGCAGTAAGCACGACGGGAAGAGCTGGGGGAACAGCGATGGTGACGAGATCGAAAGCTGACAGGAAAGCTCGACCGAACGACACGCCTTGGTCGTGCATAGCGTTGTTCATACGGACCACGAACAAGATGAAAGCCAGGGCTGACAGAGCGCCCATGAAGCGATAGCTGTCACTCTCCAGACGCTTAGTAAGCTGTAGAGGTGTCGGGAACAGGATGGAGCGGAAGAGTTCGCCTTTGGATGTCGAAAAGCCCGCGCTTAGCACCACACCACGAGTAGAAGTCTTGGATTCATCTCGGTTTCCTTGGGTTGAGCTCGAGTGCGCCAACTCTAACACTGTCGATCCAGCGAAAAGCACACTCTCACGGTGTGTTGTCTTCAGCTTCGAATTGACAGCAAACGAAGGATCAGGAGCTGCGAGTGCTTGTTTGGTCACTGGAATGGCTTCACCTGTGAGCGTAGCTTCATCAGCCATGCAGTGGCCTGAGAGCAGAGCGATATCCGCCGGTATAACGCCTTCATCAATCACCACAACGTCTCCAACAACCAGATCGGCAGGGCTCATGCGTTTCTCCCTCGAATCTCGGATCACTCTTACGCCATTCGAGATGCTATGTTCTGCATGCGCCAACCTCGCGTGCAGCTTCTTGTCATTCGTCACCAGTTCATGCACTTCCCAAACAATCGACAGTGCTGAGAGAACCAAGATGACAGTGGCGTAGGCCTCGTATCCGTCGCAGAGCCACACCAAACCACTGACGACTTGGAAGACGTAGAACGGGTGTGCCACCTTCCTCAACAGCACTTCCGGCCACGTCTGTGCTTTCAACGCGAGTTCGTTAGCTCCATGTACCCCCGTCAGCCCTTCAACTTGTGATGTCGACCAGCCACTGCCTTCCAAACACCGTCGTTGGGCCGATCCCAACTTCTCGTTAAGAGCGTTCTCGAGTCTTGAAAACCCCAGCGGCTCCCTCTCGTCAACCACGTAGCGACACTTTCTGAACTCGAACCATGGCGGACTGTCCACAGGTTGTGACAACGGACACTCTTCGTAGAACCTCTTCATCTTTTTCTTCTTCTTGCTCGTCGTCCACGTCAACGTATGCGCCACAAGCACCGATGTCGCGTCCATTGTACCTTGAGCTGGACATCGCAGCATCTTGACCTTCCACTTCGGTTTCCAGGACGCCAACACAGCCAGGATTCCTCCAGACATCACGCAGCCGAACCCGAAAAGCGCTTGTTGAACTCCATCCGCCTGTTGCAGCAGTTCTACGCACTCCAGCTCCACTGCAGGGACGGTCACGAACCCAGATCGAGGTGCTCGAGCCGCCAGATCCAGATCTTCCATGTCCACATCCACCACGTCAGAAGCCATCGCTATGCTGTCGCTGTCACTGTTGTCGTCACTATAAGTCTGTGGACGCGTCGAGAGTAGCGCAGAGGAAGCTTTGGCAGTGGATGCCATGAGACGCAGGGGTTTCGAGCTGGAGGGACGTTGCGTTGTTCCGCTGGATCCCTATAAATGGCTACACTTTCAGTTACGTTAGACAAGTGATGCATGTACCTTCAACCTCCAGGCACCTGCCAACATACGAAATGAAAACGTAAAAGGTCTACTTATTCCCTGTTCAAGTATCATAGCACGACTGTAACTACATGGTGAACTTTTTGACGGGGCATCGAGGACAGTACCAATTGCCCGGCGGGATCGAAGACAAAGGCGGCTGTAGACAGAAAGCATGGTAAGCTGCGTCGCAGCTGTCGCACAGCAGCATACTCTCCTGGGCGTTCATCTGTCCGCACTGTCGACATAATTCCTCCGACGCCAGATGTGTCACCGGAGTGTTCGGCGGCACGTTCGTAACCCACTGCTCAAATAGTCGATTGAAGATAGCTGAGGACGTCAAACACACGAGCAAAATTAGTATAATCGAGCGATTAATAGACAGTGCAGAGTAGATACTTACATCGTAGGCGGTTCGCGCACTTGGAAATGTCGGCATCTAAACGGTTAAATGTGAAGCAGTTCTCCCACACGAGGTTCACGTCGTGCACCAGCAACTCGAACCGCTGGTCATAGAACCCGCGACTTAACCGGAACTTGATCGTACCTAGATCCATCGGATTTTTGATCAGATCCGCGTAGCCAGGCACTTCATTCACGTTCACGGGCGCGGAGAACGCTAGTGCCAGCTCGTTTCTTAGCAGCATATCCATGATGTGTTCCAGACGTGACCGCAGTGTCAGATCCTGTGCGCTACCCATGGGGAAGCAGTGCTGTAGTGTCTTCATCTGGTAGCAACGCAGCTCCACAAATTGTGTCTCGGGCGGCGTCGCGACTGGGACCGGAGCTGCAGTTCCCGAGCCTTGAGCTCTCCGTTTCCTAGTGGAAGAAGAACGTTGACCACTTGAACTGGAGGATTGAGAGCCCGGATGTTTCCTCTTCGGGGTCGGGTGGCGTCCAGATCCACTCTGCTGCCCTGACGCCGACGCTGTCTGGGCTTGATGGGCCGCGCTCGCTTGAATCCACTCCTCCACTTGATCGTCTGTGAGCGATGTGATGGCAGCCACTTCGCTTCTTGCCTTGCGGTACGCGTAGGTCGAAGACGACCGTTCTCGTTGCGCTTCCAAGATGTTGTGGATCATCTTGTTAGCTAGCGCGACCAGTCCAGCAGACAGACGACCCACGAACGGCAACTCTGACGGGTTGGTCACAGGTTCCGATGCCTTGGACTCCTGGCTGATAATGGCAGTCTTCTGTGGCGAGCCTGGTCTGCTGGAATTGGCACTCGATGGGTTACGCTGCTTGCGTTTACCTCCACGTTTCATTCGTCCATACGATATCGCGTCATCTAGTGAGTACATACGCATAGCAGCAGACGCGATGGTTGCAGTAGCGATCGCGTTCTTAGCTGACGGGAGCGGAGAAGCCTTCCAGCCTGGGTCCAGCCATTCCGGATCGATGTTAGCCTCCAAGAACACGACTGCTTCCATCAGAACGGCCGATTTCTCGCATGCGTACACCATCTCTGCCCATGCAGCACGCACAGGACGTCCCCATCGACCGGAGCGGAAAGCATCGCGTGGAATTGCGGACTCCATCGATAACAGTTGAGCTCGAAGCAGCAACAGTGAGCGTGGAAGGGCCTTCTTCAGCGGGCAGATCGTCGCGCTGAAACACTCCAGTAATTCGGTCGACAGCTCGCCGATCTCTCCATCCGTAGGATCGTCCATCCCAGCTTCACTGCCGCTCCCTGCGCCTTTGGAGTTAGCCTTAATGAGATCTGGGTCGTACATGTCCGCAATGTTCGTGATCTTGCGAGATACTCTTGACGATCTTCTCGACGCAGTCTCTTCCGTTAAGCGAAGCTCTTTCCCACCAGTTTGAGCACGAGGCGATGACCTGGTAGCCTGGAGAGGCGGTTTCCCTTCCGGCACTGCCTCCGGCGCTGGCGTTGATGAAGCTTCAACTGCAGCTTTTTCAGACAATGTAGTCGTTCCCGCAGAAGTGGGTTCGACCTGTGTAGTGGGAGCTGGCGTGGAGTTCGAACTCACTTCCGACGAGTTGCTTTGCAGCGCGTTTGAAACTGATGTCAGTCTTGCCAACTGCTCCGCACGATCACGCTGTCTGTCCGCTTCGCTACGCTCTCCGTCGGTGTCTGACTGCGCTGGCGTCGTCACTTGGGAGATCGAAGGAGACTCCGGCTCTGTATCAACATCCACCATTGCAGTCGCCTCAGCTGACTCCGGGCCTGTTGGCTCGGTCGACGCGTTGACATTTGTATCAATCTCGAAGTCTCCAGCCGCACGGTAGGTCGTGCCGTTCGCATCATAGTAATTTACCTGTGAAGAATCTCCCTGTGACAACTGGGGATCATTCCCCGCGACAAAGTTCACGTACTCTCCAGTCGAGTTGTTGCTCGGGAAGGAGTTCGGGGCTCCAGATGCTGGCGGCGGAGCCGGTGTAAAGCCCATTGCTGATGATGCATTAGGCATAATAGGCATCGGTTCCATCGGCATCACATTGCCACTGCCGTTCATATTCATCCCACTCTGCGCCGGAATTGGTGGAAACGACTGCACCATTGGGTTAGGAGCGCCTTGCCAGCCTCCCAAGGGATGCGCGCCTGGACCAGCAGCAATGTTGTAGACGTTGGGCAACGTGTTGAGGTTCTGTCCGCCCATTGGTGCAGCGGGGAAAGACTGGCCCGACATATCACCCATAAATCCGGGCAGGTTTCCTGGCATCGGTGGGTTGCTGAACTGCGACGACGAATTTCCCATCGGCTGGCTCGATGGTGCTGGGAACGGGAACATATTCATACCGTCTCCCATACCAGGGAACTGTCCAGGAGTTGGGTTCTGGTAGTTTCCGCTGGCATTTACGCTAGCCATCAGCCCGCTACCTGGTTGCTGGCTGCCGAAAGCCCCGTTGTTATTCATGGCTGGTGCCTGAGGAAAAGCATTCGGCTGTTGAACTTGTTGGTTCATGGCAGAAGAAACCTGAGCGAGAGGAACAGGCACATTGTTCTGAGGAGCTCCGCTCACAGGAAACGTCATGTTGGACGTGGTATTTTGTACTGGAACGCCAGTTGTTGCTCCGCGAGCAACAGGAAGCCTGCGGAACGTCACTCGCAATGGTCGTTGGCCAGTAGCGACTGCACTTTTAAAGCCTTCCATGCCAATAACCTCCAATATCTGGCCATTCACAGCATAAACCTCGTCGCCCACTTGCACTTTACCACTCACCTGAGCTTGTCCCATCATGTTGTTGTTGTCGTTAGAGAACTCCGTGACAATAATGGTTCCACGGTTCGAATAGTTAATCACGACACCCAATGGACCCAATCCAAACTCCACGTCCACCAGAGTGCCGTCAGTAGCTTGAGCGGTCCGAGTATTGCCCGTCTGCATGGCCATAGACCCAGGTGTCATCCCGAAAGGCGCCGATGGCATAACAGGAATCGGCTGGGTCGAGGCCGGCATCGATCCGCTGGAAGTCACGTTCATCTTGCGGTAAAACACCTGCCGAATATTCTCGAGAAGGTGAACCTGCTGTACGAAGGATGCAGGCAGAGACTCAACTCCTGGTGTCGAAGCTGTGAACAGCGGTCGGCAGTTGCTGAGATCGTCGAAGCTGGTGCCTGACAAATACCGAGTAGTGCGCAAGAACATCAACACGAAGTTCGCAACGTTGTGGAGCTCGACCGACAAGTCGGCAGCACGCTGAGAAGGCTCGCACTTTTTCGCCGCAGCGGCAAAACCACTCAAGGCTCGTGCACGTAGCATATTTGACGGATCCACGCAACTGAGGATCGACGTTGCAAAGGCGTCCGCCACTTGCTTTACCAGAGCAGAGTCCGATGGTGTCTTCTGACTCGTTGTTAGCGCCTGTGTAGCCATAGCACACACCAATCCCATCACAAACGCATGGTGGAGACACACGAACGTTTTCGGGTCCGGAGGTGTCGCGTTTGGATCGACAACGATACGTGATACCACCTTCTTCACCTCTTCGAAGCTCGCCAAGCACGCGTACGCCAACCCGTTCGTAGTTTGAACAGTGGCTGACGCGGCAAACTGGTTCCAAGCTGCCAGCATTGCACGACCTTGGTCCACTAGCGCCTGCAGCGAGCGCTTAAACGAAACAGGATTGCTAGCTCCAAATTGTTGCTGCGTCCTTGCAGCAGCAGCTGGGTCTGCATATCGCGTCCGCTTCATCTGATCAGCGATCTGAGCCGCATACGCGTTATCCGTCTGCGCATATTTCCGCTTCAACGCCTCTTGGTAACGCGCTTGAGCGGCGGCATATGCATTCGACTGCAGATCCCCTTGAATTCCTGGCATTGCCACCTGCGGCATTCCAGCTTGGTACATCCCAGTTCTTGCTGCATCCACATTATTCATCATCGCCTTCTCCGATCGATTACCGCGTTTCAGGATATTGTACACCTCATGTGAAATGGGAACGAGTTTCGTTCCGCCTCGTCCGTCCATCACACTTCCATACTCGTACTTTCGGGATAAAATACGCTTAACCACGTTTTCTGCCTTCGGATACGGGGCCGTCAGAGAAGCAGGGAAGTGAGCATTGCGTAGGGTAAGTGCATCAGCAGCCACCACAGCATGAAATCCTGTTGACTGAATTGAAGTCTCTGCACGTTGAAGTGTGTTTTCGGCCTCTTGCTGCGAATAGAACGACCCGAGAAAGAACTTGCGCCCGTTGTAACTCACTACGGCCTCATACTTCTCCATATCTCCGTCCATCACAAGCAGCACCTCCTTTTCAATTGAAAAGGGCCCATCCCGAAGAAAGTCTTTGGTGGAATATTCGCAGCATGACAGCCCTTGCTGTAACTGAAGCCTTGCACTGTCATCGTGAAGCACCCAATGGAAACACCATCGTATCCGAGTGGCAATCTTCGAGTCTCTGGCGTCTTCGTCCAAGTACGCAAGGAGTTGCATCAGTTGCTCTTTCGTGGCACACGCCGACCACTTCTTGTCCGGTGACAACACAAACAAACGTTGATGATCGCTGAAGAAACGATAGAATGAGTAACCATGTCGGCATTTCCCCAGGGCTAAAGTTCTCGGAACGATAAGCCACTTGATGAAGCTCTCGAGCTCTTGAGCCTTTTCGACACGAGGAAGCATCGAGCCGCATTCTGACCACGCCACGTTTGCACTTTCGATGCAGCATTCATGAGCCTGCAGCATCGTCATGGGTCTGATGAACGGAGTGAGGTGGAGGTAAACTGCACACGAGGACGAGAACTCAGCACATAGACTCTTCACCGAAGCCCAGCTCAAACCAGCCACAGGTTTCCCGTTCAGTCCCACAATAAGGTCGCCAACTGCAACTGTGAGGGGAGCCGAGTCTTGACAGTCTGGACGCTGTTCGCAATATACCAGACCATTCGTCGCAATTATGCCAATGCTGTCGAGCAGATTTTCCGCCTCAAACGGAAGTGGAAAAGACTGCACGCGGAAGGTTCTGACGTCGCTGGAGCTAGGAAGCTTTAGCTGCTTGCAGAGTAACGACGGGTTAGCAATCAGGTCAGCCATGAGTTTGTTTGCCTGTTCAAGAGTCACAATTTGACTGGTCCCCGTAGGCGGTTGTCTGGAAAAAGTAATCTTCAATGGCCGTGGTAAGCCCAGCAACCACGAAGTGAACTGAGAGAGATCAGTCAGTTTACCGTAGGTTGAGCCATTCACTTGTTCCACCAAGTCTCCGCGTGTAATGCGACCACTGAGTGAGGCCTGACCAAGCGTACCGTCTGAGTGATCGTTCAGTGATTTAACCACCACACCTCGAGGTTCTAGTGCCAGGGCCAAACCAAGCGGACCATCTTGGAAAATCACGTCGTACGAGGTTGGTCCACTTGCTTGCGGGATGACCAGTCCTGTTCTGAACGTAGTCTCTCTCGCTCGCTGCGAAGCCAAGTCGTGTACTGTGCGTTGCCACTCCTCGGTGGCCTTCCTCATCTGACTCGACGGTTGACGCATAAACACGGCGTATTTGACGTCTGACGAATTATCTACTCGCAGTAATGCCTCGATCTCAGCAGCTTCCTTCTCCCGTGTGGTAACGCCGTTCACCATCAATAACACATCACCCGGAAATACTTGGCCAGACAGCTCACCAAAGCCTACCTCCGGCGTTTGATAAGACTGAACGAAGATGAAAGATTCATGAGAAGCCAACGTCAGACCCATCGACAGTCCATGACACTTCATGATCGACACTGAGGCACGCACAGCCTCGCCAGGCAGCGACGTCAAGTACAATAAGACCGGCTGTGCGGCAGTTCTCAACTGCTCTTGGATGGCTGCGCGACTCATACCAAACACTACACGATCATTAACAGCATACACGATTCCCTTGACGCCATCCGTCTCAGACTGGCTGCCAGCCTCACCTTGCGCAGAGCGAGCTGAGTATTGCACACCTTCTGCCGTATCTTCCAGCACCACAGCAGCGAGATCATTCGCTCCAAGCGTTCGCACAGCCAGCATGTCGGGGTTTTCTCCAGTCAAAAGCTCGGGGATTTCATACTGATTCAGCAAAGTCGTCTGGGATGTCAGTGGCGACTGCTTGCAATAGTGCAGTGGACCGTTCAAGACTCCATCTTCCAAGCCACAGAAGGCACACAACGGGCGAGACAGCATCGAACCACTTCCATCCTCGACAAACGCCTCGTTAGATAACGACAAAAATCGATCGCCAAACTCTTCAAGCATCATTTCTTCCTCAGCATCGGAATCGTCGGACGAGTCTTCATCCTCTGCATTCAAAGGGGTGGGCTCCTTCTTCACAGTAATAGTCTCACCACGAACCTTTTTCTTAGCACTTTCCGGTAACATGGGCAGGGGCCTTGACTCCAGTTCTGCCTTTGCCTTGTCCTCCAAATATGTCAGTAATTCATCCGTAAGCTCATGTTCGACGCCATCAACAATGAACTTCTTGGTCTGTTCCACACCGTGCGATGAACGAGGCGGAGCAAATCGGTCCCATTCGCGCTGTAAGTCTGCCAGTGATTCGCCCAGCTTCTTTCGCGCATCATTTGCTTTTCCCTCGAGAGAATGATACACCGACTGCACCGCTGATGTCTCCTCAAGCAACTCACACAGCACCCTCAGCACCTTCAATCGATCACTGACAGTAAGCTTCGAGTAGCTTTCCTGGGATAGAAGATCAATCGCAGACAAAAGACGCTTCTCCAACTCGGTAAGAGCGCTATCTTTAACCTCACTGCTGCCAGAGTTGCCACTGGAGTCAGCAGCCATATCGCGAGCTTTCTTCTGGAATTGTTCAGGTGAAAAGGAGGGATCCGCAAGGCACGTTGGGCAGAACCACTCGGACTTGGGGATCTCAAATAGTGGAGACTCGAGGCAAAAAGTGTGATACGGTGCGTCGCAGCGATCGCACAGTAGCAACCGGCCCTTCGCGTGGATCGTCTGACAATTACGGCAGTTATCTTCCTCCGCAGCAATCATAGGGCGATTCACAGTCGTGTGCACCCACTCCTTCATCAACCGCTCAAATATTACAGACAGCTTCTGGGCCAGATTCGAGATTTCCGCCTTCAATGAGTTGTACGTGTAGCAGTTTCTCCACACCAGCTGCACGTCATCAACAAACGACTCGACGTCATCGTTCTCGTAGTCTTCATCCTCGATCTTCTCCGCAATCGTACCCAGGTCCATCGGTTCCGTGATATCCCCACTAGAGTAGTAGTCTGGATAGAGCTCTGCATCCACTGGCTGGTTGAAAGGAGCCGCAATCTCTTTTGCTCGAAGAAGCTTGAGCACAAATCCACAGCACTTCATCTTCGTCGCACCTTGCGTTGTTGCAATGTGTTTCATGGGGTTCTTCACGGCAGGGACAATTGAGGACATCAACATTCCATGGGGAGTCTTCAGTCCACTCACGAGACTGTTAAAGTCTTCAAGCGGCATCTCCCGCACATCTTGACCATTAATGCACATGAGATAATCCCCGACTCGAATCCTATCGGCGTTGTCATCCTTCGCTTCAGCAACAACCTCCGACGATTTCTCTTTATCCTCATTAGAGGTGGCGACGATTTCTGTTACGACGAGATGCTGGTCTTTCTCCCCCACCTTGATCTTACTCGACACACCGCCAACCAATACGACGCCATAATAATCACTTGACGCTGCAGATGAATTGCTTCCATCTGACGCCAATGTAGCAGAGTTTTTCGCAGGTACGGTGGGAGCCTCGGTCTTTGCTTCCTCCTTCTCTTCTTCAAACTGCACTCCTTTCAACAAGTTAGTTCCTCGGCGGTGCAGTTTCTGACGCAGCGGCTGCGTCACAGCATCATCTCGATACGACTTGGAGCCTTTGATTGACTTGAGCAATTGTTCATCTGGACTGGGGTGCTTGAACTCCATTGCCAACTGACATACCTGTCGCGCAAGTTCTGGCCAGCTAAACGCATTCATGGGTCGAGTGCGATGGAATTCCTCCAGCGTATTCCCCATTTGAAGTAGCGGGAAATACTCATTGACCAGCGCCTTTAACAGCTCCGCATGTAACGAAGCGAAGAGTGTACCCAGAGAGTCGTCATCCAGATCACCGTCCCCAACAGGGCTGGAGCCGTCACTCAGCGTCATCATGTTTACAAAAATGCCAAGCGAGGGCAGCGCCGTCAGCTTCAGTGCGTCCGAGAATGTCGAAATAAAATCCCACACGAAAAGCAAGTCCGCATGCGATTCCGCCGGTACTGGATTCAGTTCTACCGCTGGAGAGATCAGCTGGGATGGGAACTTAGTGTCTTCACTCGTGGCCGAGTCGTGATCATACGGCTTATCGCTACACAAGGTATGGTCGCTCTTCAACTTCTGAGTGTAGCGTGCTTTGACGCGAGTCCAGACTTCGGCCTCCACCTCGTTCCTCTTGTCCCACAAACGAATCTGTCGTCTTCGCTCTCTTTCGTCTTCAACAAACTTCAACAGCGCCATGTGTTGCTGCTTAATAGACTGAGGATCGGGAACAGCTTTCCTCTTCCTTGAGTCACTGAACCGCCTCGGGGATGAAGATGTCACGACGCCATTCTCAAGGATCGCCTTCTGCTCCTCACGCATCTGACGACGCTGTCGTAATTCCTCTATCCTCCGCTTCATAGAGTTTTCTTTTTCCTCCATCTTCTTCCGTTTTTCCTCCTCACGCAACGCACGCTTGATTTCCTTCTCCTCTTCGCGCATTCGTTTCTCCTCCTCCCTGGCCAGTCGCAAGGCTTCTTTGCGTGCCTCTTTTTGCCGAGCAGCTTCCATCTTGGCCTCCAGAATCGCGTTCTTGCGCTCTTCTTTTGCTCGTCTCTGGGCTTCCTTCGCGTCTTCTTGCGCCTTCATTTCGATCTCTAGGAGTTTTCGAGCTGCCTCTCGAACGCTGCGCTTGTCCGCTTCGCGTTGTTCCTTCTCTTTCTGCTGCTGCAGGCGCTGCTCCTCCTCAGGATCACGACAATGCTCGGCTAACAAGACTTCCTGTGATAGTTGACGGTTGATCTCGTCCTTGGAAATCGCACTTTGAGTCTTGAGGACATCCTTCACTTGGTTTTTCAAACGTGAGCGAATTTTGGCATGCACATCGGGTGTAATGGGATGTCGCTGCTCCCAGAACTGATAATCTCTGCACCAAAGCACTTGATGCAGTCCTTCCAGCACGCGCGTGATGTTTCTTCGCAGCAGACCGAAGCCATCCTCACCGCTAGCAGGCGTCAATACGTCCACGGGTCTCCCATTATCATCAGATTCTACTGTGACCACGGATCCGCTAACTACAGCCATGAGTTCATCGGCTGTCAAGCTCTCGAAATGCACCAACGCCTTCTTCCACGCTTTACTCGCCACGTACGATCGAAATACAATCTCAACAGCGCTATTCTCCAATTCCACCACAAAAATCGGAGACTTCTTCTTGTTGCCGTGTACAATTTCTACAGTCAAGAATACACACAAGTATTAATCCCATCCAATAAAAACTACAATAAAATAAATGTTCACGTACTGCATCGTAGCCGGAAAGCAACTGTCAATGGCTTGGTCATCTGCACCTTCACGAGCGTCTCGTATCCAATCGGAAACAGCTTCTTGCTGGTGTAAAAATGTTCTTCCGGGACGACAGAGCCCAGACATATGACACTGATAGGTCCGTCCACCAGTGGCATCTCCAGTTCCGCCAATTTCCTCCTCAGGATGGCGAGATAATACATGTCTTCTCGAGGGATTGCGCCCTGCATCAAGTGCGTATAGGCTCGAAGCGCGTCTCTCAAGCTGCGGTACTTGCGCTGATCCGGGTCCAGCAGCTTACCGTCGTCTCGTATGCTCCAGTGACTGAGTGCTGTTGTGTCTAGGCCTCTTTGTTGCGCCAGGAACCGCAGCGACTCAACGCTCAGCTCCAAGTCGTCGATAGAGTCGCTACGTCTCTTGTGCTTAGACTGACCCATAGCCATGACGGCTGAAGCGGCGCTCATGTCCTCGTCGTCGTCCTCAACTGAGGGCGGTCGCGTCGTCTCACTGCTGTCGGCGCTGCGCTCGGCATCATTGTCTCCTTCGCTGCTGCTGTAGGAGCGCGGGGCCAGTAATAGGTCCATTCCACGCGGTTTGGGCGCTTCATCCTTCTCCTCCTCAAAGCTGCTACCACCCTCAGACTGTGGAGGAGACAACTCCATGGCAGGCGTCCAGTACTGTCCACTTCGGTAGGCAGGAGGGCCCGTAGACGGGGGATCCATGAGGAGGCGGCTACGCCAGTGCGGAATGAAGTTCCCAGTCCGCCCTCGATATAAAGTGACTGAAAACTCCCGCCTTAGAGGGTGGGACACTTGGGCGGGGGAATTTAGGGCAGTAAAAAGGGGAACTTAAAACTGCGAAGGCTGATATTAAGTTTTAGAATCACAACTCTCTAAAAAAATATTTCATTTTGTGGATTCATAAACCTGTTTAAAATAATTTTGAAGAGTTTATGTCGCGCGGGTCGTTCGACAGCGCGGAGTCGGCGCTAAAGCGACATCAGCATACGAACTCTAGTGCGTCTTCAATGCCGACGAAACAGCGATGTATAATAATGACACTCCCACTCGCACTATCAGCGAGTTTGGCGGTTAGAAAGGGGCCAAGATCTAGGGCCGTACGCCGTCAGGGAGAACGACTGTGTTGCTGATAGTGTCCCTTCTGGCCGAAAACCACAACCTAAGGAGGGGAAAATCCTATTAACACCTAGCAAAAGGACATGCACCACTCACCATACTCGCTCAGCACCCAGGCAAGAGCAAGGCCACACCGTCACGTCCGCACACTGTTGCCTCATCGTAGTTTGCAGTACATGTACCCTTCAAAAGTGATTGTGTGGCAGCTGCCACACATTTTTTGCGCCCATATAGAACCCGCCCTCTCTGAGGGCCTCAGAGAGGGCCTCAGAGATCCGCTGTCAGGACGCTATCGCCACCAACAGAGACGCTGTTGCCGCCCACATGGTGCTGCTGCCGCCCTCCAAGATGATGTTGCCGCCCACAGAGACGCTGCTGCCGCCCTCCAAGACGCTGCTGCCGCCCACGGGATGCTGTTGCCGCCCAGGCGAAGCACTTCAGATGACAGGTATGATATTAACGCATCTTTCAACCAATTGTTAGCATTGACCTTTAAAATAGTATCTTCTCTATCACTAGCGCTGGGGTGTTGCTGCTTGGACGTCCAGCCTGTTGGCATCCGGACTTCCGCCGATTTGGGCCGCGGTACTCCAGCTTCTCCCGAGAATTCATGACATGCACACCTCGGACGTGCTTTGCGAGCAATGTGTGCACACACGCTCCATACTTCGCCCAATAAACACAAGGACACGACCACTGCCGAGTGTTTACTGGCCAACCAGTCGCTGGTATTCCAGCGACTTCCATGCGCGCTGTGTGCTGACCGAGCTGAGCGGTTACCGCCAGATCTTTACGCGAGCGTTTTGTCTCAGGATCGTAGATACGGGCAACTCGCCGAGACACCACATTTACCACCTCAGCGCTCGCAGCACCGACGTCGTCGGCAGGAGCGTCATTAAGCAAAACTTCAAAAGTCCCGCGTTCTTTGGTGTCTTCGAAGAGCAACCCCGCTCTCCTCATCTCGCTTACACGGTGGACCAGCGTGACGGTTGGAGTGGTTTCTACGGCAAACGCTGTGGATGATGTGCTTTCATTTACGCAGCATGCCATCAACTGGCGGAGTAACGAGCCCATTTTCATCCGAGAGCGCAGGGTGTAGTCGCGCTTAATAGCACCATTGAAGCTCTCGACAGGATTGTTCGTCGTCGCAAACGCGGGTGGCGTGTGGAATATCTGCCATCGGCAGAAACGGCTTGAAAGCCACACTCTAGCGAAGTACTCCTTAAAGGAAGCGAGCCCTGGATGTAAGGACCAATCGTCCAGCACGCGCTCTTGGGTGATGATGAACTGGGCTTCGGTTGTTGCATAGTGTAAGTCATTGAGGCCTCCTGCCACAGAAGCGTAAAGTGCAGGTTATAGCCCTTTTGTCTTCTCGTGCACCTTGGCGGCAACGTGGTAGAAACACATTAGAATAGTTAGATTGTTGTCAACACCCAGTACGCGTTGCACCGCGTTGTACTGAGCGTCGTCCGCGTCCCCCATCGCGTATCGGACTTCAAATTGCTTCCCCGTGACACATGTGTATACTTTTCGAAGCGCCATTAGCGCTTCCACGAAGTGCTTCACTTTTCTTTGCGAAGAAATAAATATCGCAAGAAGATGAAACCCCCTAACTCGGTCGGAAATGCCAACGACAAATACAGGGTAGTCGACTTGAGTTAACTTAAATGTTGCATCAAGGTGCAACACAAAAGTTGCTGGTTCGCGATCTGCCTTACGGAGAAGCGCTTTGGTCGTGACTCCGACGAGAAATGGGTCCACATCAGAACCTTTTCCCAGATAAGGTCTGCCTTCAGTATCGGTTCTGGCTGGATCGACAAGGTGCAATCATTGCGATCCGATCTGGTTGACGGTGCCTCCAGAATGACGGTGCCTCCAAAATGATCATTGAACTCCTGTTCGTGACCCGTAAAAGTCGATTCGCGCACCATGTTGCGCAGGTCATCCAGGTAGTCATTCCCGCCCAACTGTGTGGACTTGTAGTTATTCACAAACCGCTGAACAACCTTTAAAGAGGGCAGAGAGCTCGTACAGAGCTCAAACTTGTGCAGCAGGCCGCTGCGGATTCTAGCTGGCTTAAGACCTTGGTCAGCCATCTCCTTGGCAAAATCCTTCATTGCTCGTGTAAGCCTCGGCGGACGAGGCTGACGGCGAGCCGTTACGTAGGTCCCGGTTTGGAAAACGTCCACGACGTTGTGTCGCCCGCACTGAAGCCGCTTGCCCCGCCACAGACAGCGCGCGTACGGCATGGCCAGCTGGCACTGGTGGCACGCGCAGAGCAGGATGCGCTTCCTCATGTTATGAGGGGAGGGGTCGTTGCACACAGTACACTGGGCTTGGTCGCTTTTTGAGATCTTGAAGGCCTTGAACGTCTCTAAGAGGAGGTCAGCGTCCTCCTCCTTGAGCCCGATGGCTAGCTCAGACCAGGGAAGAGCAGGGGGCATAGTTGGCAGTTTGATGCGGTAAGGGTGCGGTCCAAACGGAGGGGGGAAGTTTTTGAGTGAGCTCCTTCGAAATCAAATGTATGGGTTCGACATGTGTGGCTACCATCAATTTAATACTAGGTGATTAAAGTGATATTTTGAGTGGTTATCGGTTTTAAAAGGTGCTCTTCATTTTATGTGTATAATGTTAGATAGATTTTGAGTGCTGGTAGTATAGACTGAGTGCTACTGATAAAATCTGAGTGCTTACCTGTGTTGAGGAGGCCTGGGGTGGCTTTGATAGTGATACTCAGCCTGGACTGCTTGTGGTTTACGCCGACAACCTCAAATAGTGATGGTTCGTAGTTTGTATTAATAACGTTAAAAGTGTTAATAACGTTGTAAGTATCTCGAAGGTCCTCAAACGTCGTCACATCCACATCCGAACGTTTGTTGAAGTTGTCAGAAAAATGGCCCGCCTCTCACCACCAACTCACAGTTCGACTGATTTCTGGCGGCGCCAGATCAACTTCAGCTTCGGTTGGCGAGAATACCAACTACATCCCACCCAAGGAGGTTGCTCCAGAGCCACCGTGATTCTCGCTCGCCAGGCGCCGTCGTCCAAGCTGGATCAGACATGCATCGTCCCCCCGCATCCAAGATCGTGTTGCTACGCCTTCCCAGAGCTCCCGTGGGAGTTAAGCTACACCACCACGCTCGTCTCGTATCCAAGCCCGTGCAGCTACACCGTCACGCGGTTCGCTGCAGCACGGCTCTCAAACCAGACTCACACAGCACCGTGTATCTAGTCAATCTTAAAACTGCAGTAACACCGCAAGCTTCAAGCACTTCTGCAAAATTTACCACAGTTTTAATTTTAGCTCTGTAAGGACGGCGATATATTGCAAGAAATCAAAACTCGATACGGCCCAGGTGGTGGCGCAGTGTCGCGGAACGCTCAAAAACTATTGTTTGAATTTAGCCTAGCTTTCAAGTTGACTGACTGGGTCAGGGCAAGACGAGGTTGTCAGTTGAGGGAAGAGAAGGGGCAGTACGTCGGTAAATGGTTCGCCAGCGCTCTACTAAGAGCGGTGAGCGGCTGGACGGTTCTCTACACCCGGTTAAGGCCTGCGTTGACCCGGAGCTACTCGAAATCTTGCGCTTCTATGAACTCCTTAAGGTCGTCGACGCCGTACTCAATGAAGAACAGGTTGCTGTAATCGACGCAAAGCTTGGGTCTGTGCAAAACCTCAAGTGCCCGGCTTTTTTTTTTTT